AATAAAAGTCAAGGGACCAATTCAAATATTTAACCTAAAAAAATATGTTAGCCACGTCAGCATCACTATTCAATTAATCCTTAAATAAAAAAAGTTGAAAGTTGACATCCTTAAATAGAAAATGTTGAAAGTTGGCATTCTTATTTAGAAACTGACAAAATTAACATCCTTATTTAGAAAAAAATTGAAAGTTAACATCCTTATTTAGAAAAAAATTGAAAGCTGACATCCTTATTTAGAAAACGATAAAGTTAACATCCTTAAATAGAAAAAAGTATAAAGTTGGAATCTTTATTTGCACATTTACTCACTTTTAAAGATATTATGTTGTATTACTATAAAAAACATTTTAGTATTCGATAATTATATTTTAAAAAATTATATTTTGTAAAATTACTTAATTAGACATATTGTTATTTAAAATTAAATTAATTAATAATTTAATATATAATGTATAAAAAAATATTTAAAAATTTTATTAAATTATTTAAAAATTCATAAGATAGTTTTATATTCTTTTTCGAAAAAATTAGAATGAATAATTTATTAAATGCATAAATTACCAAAAAAATATTATAAATATATATTTCCAAAAAGGAGGGGGAGGGGGGGGGGGGGGGGGGGGGGGAGTCTGCATCTTCTCCCCGCTTCCTCCTGTCCTCCGCCATTGCTACATTTTCCCTTTTAACTTGCTTCATTGTTTGTCTTGTTCCAATTCTTCTTGTCCTTCCCAAATGGGTTCTTATTGAGAACCCCATTCTCATCTTTCAAAATGAAGAACCCAAAAGATCAATACTTGAAGAAATTTATTATTGACTTTTCTAGTTGATTAATCGTGTCGTGACGAATTTTACCGGGTTTGGATGAAATCAATTTCTTGGAGATTTTTTTTTTTTTTTTTTTTTTTTTTAGGAAAAATGAGTGTAATCTTTTTAGTCAAGAACCTAACTAGGAAAGAAAGGAGTAACTGGTGCAGGCCAAATAAAAAATCAAGAAAAGGAGAATAAAGGAGAAGATGGTGGATAATTAAGGGTAAACTGGATAATTAAATGAAAAAGGGTTGTCATTAATCACCCAATTTCACAAAAAAAAAAAAAAAAAAAAAACGTGTGAAATTGTGAGGGATGCATTTCTTCCATTTACTTCTTTAAAATATTAGATATTTCACCATTTAACTTACTTTAGAGAGAGATAGAGAGATAAAAAAAAGTAAAGTGAAATTAGCTCATCACATATCCAACATTATTATTAGGTTTTACCTTATATTTTTTTTTAACAACTCAATTAGAAAGTACATAGCTGACTTCTCTCAAATTCTATTGTATTACTTTGGAATTATCCAAATCCTAGTTAAACACTTTAACTTTCCTTCCTTTTCCTAGCCTTCCATTTATACACTGTACCATTCAACTTCAGAGAAACTAAAGATGAAAAGATGAAAACTTTAGTGAAAATAAACATGAAATGAACATAAACATGAAATATATTCAATAGCAAAAGATTGAAAACTACATCTTGCTTATATGAGTTCTAGCAAAAAACACTAAAACTAAACTTGAATAAATAATGAGTTGTACTTCTTCCATCATCTAACCTACCAGCCTAATCACTATTAAAATACCCCACCAAAGAACTAGAATCAATCTTCTCAAACCAAAATTCATAATCTAAAGTGCCATTCACATACCTCAACACCATTTTTGCAACAACAAAATGAAGTTGACCAGGAGAACCCATGAATCTAGATAAGAGACTAGTAGCATATACATGCACATTTGATATCTCAAGTCTTTATCTATATATACACAAAATCACAAATATATTATATGCACCTTTTAGAAGCATCATCTCTGTTTAGGGTTTAGGAGACGATGGCGTGGGGTGCAGCGACTCAGGACGGTGGCAGATTCAGAGGGCGGCAAGGACACAACTGGAGGAGTGGAGATTATAGGAATAGAACACAGGGACAGGTAGAATCATTCTTCATATACAACTTTCCAGAGGATTGGGATGCGAAGGCTCTGTGGTATCAGTTTCAGAATAGTGGAAAGGTGGTTGATGTGTTTGTCCCAAGTAAGAGAGATAGATGGGGGGAAATGGTTCGGATTTGTCCGAATGCGAGGAGTACAAGATGTTAAGCAACTAGAAGAGAAACTAAATAGGATATGGATCGGATCCTATAAGCTGAGGGCAAGAGTGGCATCTGTCAGGAGGCAGAGAGAGTTAGGAAATCAGAGGATTGCTGGGAAAAAGGCTGGGACTGTCAGGGTACAGAAAGGGTATGGGCACCGAAGAAATGCTAGCTTGAAAGTGGGGATCAGGGAGCAGCGACTTGTTCAACCAGGAGTAACATACGTCCAGGCTATTATGGGATCTTCAAGGAAAGATAGAGCTCTGGATCTGAATACACAAGCAAAAGAGAAGGTGAAATCAGCAGCTACGGATAGGGCATCAATTAATCAAAGGAAGGATGTGAATCCTGAGGAGAAAAACTCCGGTGATAAGGAGGGAGCTATGAAAGAGGGGTACAATAGGGAGGAAATTATAGAATTTTTCCCATTGAAAGAGAAGAATCAATGGCTGCAGGGGAGCATGATAGTAATGGTTAAGTCCATGTCAATGATCTCTACTATTCAAGAGAGACTGGATGTGGATGGGGGCTTGATAAATTTATCTCCATTAGGAGGAAGGAGCGTATTATTAACGGAGAGACTGGCGGGTTATTTGAAGGAGTATGTGCAACAACACAAAGAGATGCTTGAGCTCTGGTGTGAGAAAATTCAGCCATGGGATGTGGCACCTCAAAATTACGGTAGAATGGTTTGGGTGCGTATATCTGGAGTTCCATTAAAAGCCTGGAGTGATAGATGCTTTGAGAAGATAGCAGCCTCATTAGGGGAAGTAGTATTGGTACATGAAGATACAAAATCCAAGTCGATTTTGTGTGATGGAAGAGTGTTGATTTTATGCTCTGAAATGAACAAAATTGTAAAGTCATTGAAGTTAAAAGTGGAGGAGAAGTTGTATCAGATCAGAGTGATGGAGGAAGAGTGGAGGGCCGACCCGGATTGGTGGCTGTCGGAGGATGACCAGAGGGAAGAGGCAGAAACGAATTCCGATATCTCTTCATCGGAACAGGGGGATGAGGATCACGAATTCAATTATTCCGAGATTCGAGGTGATGAGATAGATGATGTAGAGGAGATTGATGGGGAACGGCTAGAGGCAGAGGGAAGTTTGAATTCAAAACAAGATGGAACAACAGAGAGTAGGGGGTTTACGAGAGAGGAGAATAAGGAGCTGGATGGGCCCAGCTATAAAAAGGGCCTAATAAGGGGTGCAAAAGATGGGCCAGAGGATGAGAATGGGCTGAAGGGGAATACTTCTCAAGTGCAGGAAACAAGTGTAACGGGGAATGGGCCGAAGACCATAATCGGCATTATAGGTGAAGTGCAGGGGATAATTGAGGGGGAGCTGAATAATGAAGTTGATTTGGGAATTAGGGATCCGAGAGAGAAAAAAAAGAAAGAACTAAAAGCATGCTACCCTCAAGAGAAGATTGCAGGCAGCGAAAGGAAGGCTCAAGGGAGCTCAGACGGAAGTATGCAGAGTCATCGCCGAATCTAGGAAGAACAACAGAAAGTCTAGATCGGGGCGGCAGTACAGGATCAACGGGCTGGGAGTGCATCTTTGTCGGACAGTTGTATAGTTCACAGAAACAAGGTGATACGCAGGGAGATGAACAGTCAGGAGGTAAGAAGAATTTTTAATTTAGGCAAACGCTTGGGTATAGAAGTGGGTGAAAATGAGGAGGAAGTTCAGTCAAAATTAATGGAGTTGGAGGTGAGGGACGAAGGACAGGGGAGGGGTTAGAAAGGATATTGGTGATTCGGTTAGGATGGGTGTGAGTATATATTATGGTTTTTTTTATGAAATTAATATCTTTTAATGTGAAGGGATTAGGGAGTGTGTTGAAGAGGAAGGAGGTGGGAAAATTGGTAAAAGCCGAACGTCCGGATGTATTATTTTTGCAGGAGACAAAATTAGAGGTGGTGCAGGGGAATCTTTGTAGATCGATGTGGTTTTCGGATGAATTTGAATGGGTGATGAAGGAATCTGTAGGAGCTTCTGGAGGCCTGTTGTGTGTTTGGAATAGGCTGAAATTTGTGAAACAAAGGGAGTTTACAGGTGACGGGTATGTGGGTATTTCGGGGGAATGGGGATCTCAGAAGATAAGGTGTAATTTGGTGAATATCTATGCAGCAAATGATAGACAAAAGAAGCTCAAGATGTGGGAAGAGCTTCGGCATATGATATTGGAGGAGGAAGGCCGATGGCTGATAACTGGAGATTTTAATGCGGTTAGAAATACAAATGAAAAGAAGGGTAAAACGGGGGAGACAACGGAAATGAGGGATTTCGATGATTTTATCGTGTCAGCTGGTTTGGTGGATTTAAAATTGGCCAATAGACGCTTCACATGGTACAGGCCGGATGGATCATCGATGAGTCGGTTAGACAAGGTCTTGATGTCGGATGAGATGTACAATTTGGGAAGGGAATGGGTGCAGCAAGGATTGAAGAGGACGGTGTCAGATCATTGTCCGATTATGGTCAAAACATCAGCAGCAGATTGGGGACCAAAGCCTTTTCGGATGTTTGATGCATGGCAACAGCACCCACAATTTAGGAAGGCAATGGAGGACAAATGGAAGGAACTAAAGGTGAAAGGGTATGCTGGATACAGATGCTTGCAGAAGCTAAAGAGATTAAAAGAATTTCTAAAAGGTTGGAATAAGGAGGTGTTCGGGAATATGGAATCACAATTCAATAAAGTTGCAGAAAAAGTTGAAAGGATTGACCTGAAAAATGAAGTAGTGGAGCTGGAGGCAAGCGAGGTGAATCAAAGGAAAGAAGGCTTTCAGCAAATATGGGACATGTTGAGGATGAGAGAGGCTATGTGGAAGCAAAAATCAAGAAATGATTGGGTTAAATTGGGGGACCAGAATACCAGATATTTCCATAAGGTTGCAAATGGGAGAAAGGCGATTAATAATATCCAGGGAATAATGAGTGACGGTCACTGGGTAGAGGAACCAGTTTTGGTTAAGAAAGAGGTGATGTTAAACTTCCGCAAGATGTTTCAAGAGGAATCTTGGGTTCGGCCTAAGCCTTCAAATATTGAATTCAAGAAAATCTCTGAAGAGCAGACGGAATGGCTTGAGAGACCCTTTACTGTTGAGGAGATCGAAGAAGGATTGAAGAGCTGTGATGGAAGTAAAGCCCCAGGCCCTGACGGGTATAATTTTAACTTCCTTAAATTTTTCTAAAATAGTATTAAGGAAGATATTGTTGAATTTTTTTGTGAATTTCATCAAAGTTCCAAGTTAGTGAAAGGGCTGAATTCTTCTTTCTTTACATTAGTCCCGAAAAAACAGAATCCTAGGGACTTAAAAGACTTTAGGCCTATTAGTTTGGTAGGATGCGTGTACAAATTACTGTCAAAGGTGCTAGCTAATAGGCTTAAAAATGTAGTATCAGAAATCATCAGTGAAACACAATCTGCTTTTGTTGGAGGAAGACAATTAGTTGACAGCGTCCTGGTTTTAAACGAAGTTGTGGATGAGGTTCGGAATAGGAAGACATCAGCTTTTGTTTTTAAGGCTGATTTCCAAAAAGCTTATGATTGTGTTAACTGGTCTTATCTGGATTGGATGATGGATAGATTTGTTTTTGGAACCAAGTGGAGGGGGTGGATTAAGGAGTGCCTTTCAACCGCACGATGTTCAGTGCTGGTAAATGGAAGCCCAACGGAGGAGTTTGATTTGGAGAAAGGGTTGAGGCAAGGGGATCCTTTGTCTCCATTTCTATTTCTGATGATTATGGAGGGGCTAAATGGACTGGTAAAGAAAGCAGAGACTGAAGGATTGCTACAGGGAATTGAGATTGGTAAAAGGGGGCTGAAGGTTTCATTGCTGCAATTCGCAAACAATACGGTAATTTTGGGAAGAGCTACTAGTGAGAATGTTCTTATGGTCAAAGCTATTCTAAGATGGTTTGAGATAATGTCAGGATTGAGATTTAACTACAGCAAAAGCAGTATCTATGGTCTTAATGTGAAAGAGAGCTGGGTAAGAGGAGCTGTAGGTATTTTAAGGTGTGGTATAGGGGAGAAACCCTTCTCTTACT